TTTAGAAGAATTTAAAACATGGGAAGAACGTGATGCTGAACGACCAACAGCATCAGCTGATAAAGCATCAAAATTAAAATCTACAGTAACAGAAGAAAAAACAGTTACGGATAGTAGTGGTCGTCCAACTACATTACCAGGTAAACAACGTTCTAGTCAAGATTATGAATCAACAAGTGGTAAACAACATCGATCAGAATCTGCTACACGTTTACCAACAATAAAAGAAGGTTTATTAACACGAAAACATGAATGGGAAGGACATGAACGTAAAGCAACACATCGTGCATGGGAAAAATTGTATTGTGGTTTAACAAGCAATCGTTTATCATTTTATAAAGATGCTAAACATTTAAAATCAGGTCGAACAGTTAGTGATGATCTTCTTTTTGATTCATCAACTAATGTTTCTCAAGCAACAGATTATCGTAAAAGAACAAGTGTATTTCGTTTAAAACTTCATGGTGGTAATGAATATTTATTTCATGCTAAAGATGATAATGAAATGAATGAATGGATTTCATCAATTAATAATTGTATATCATCATTACCAACAATGATTAGCTCAACTACAACACAAATACCATCTGTTGCAATAACATCACCACCTATTGGTATTAGTACGTCATCGACAAGTTCTCCTAGACATCAACAACAACAACAACAAGTACCAACAATGACGACTAGTACATCAGGTAAATAAGAAATTATTATTGTTATTTTATTTTATATTATTAAAATTTTTTAATTTAGGTGTTGAAATGACACAACCATTATCAAGTGCAGAACAAAAATCTCGAACATTACCAAGTCAATCTAGTACATCTGTGGAACCAAGTTCAACTCAACAAGCAACAAGTGGAAAGAAAAAATCAGGTGGATTTTTTTCAATGAAAAGAAAATGAACAGAGAATGATTTTTTGATGTATAAAACAAATATTCCTCTTTGACTTAGAACAAATACAACAAACAACATATTTCTCAAATCCACCCAAAATAAATACAACTACATCATATATATCTCCTAGTCAATATAGATCTCTCGTTCTATGAGATGATTCTTTTTTGTTCTTGTGTTTAATTAATGGGTTCTTTTTATTTCTTCCGTTCTATTATTTACCATCACAATATGTTGCTGTGCTCAGATTTTCTTCTTTTTTTTTTCTTCTTCTTTGCTTATGTGTTTTTTTTCCTTCTTGCGCATACATATATATATAATTATATACATATACATATTGAATTATACATAGTTGTTCTTTAACCCCATTTATTTCTCAGTAGATTTGAAACATTAAGAAAAGAAAAGTTAACACCCTGTTGTTGTTTGTTTCTTTTGTTGTTGTGTGTGCTGTTCAATGGTGATTTTGTCTATCTTAATTTCGTTTTTTTTTTACATTATTTTTTTTCTCTTCTAATTCTCTTAATGCTCATGTATGGGTGTATTCGTTGTTTCGCTTTTGCGTTCGTCTTTATCTTTTCTCATTTTTTTTTGGCTGAATTCACATCATCATTACTTTCTACTTAAGAAAATAAAAAAACAAAAAAAAGATTTGAAATTTATTTAGTAACATATACATTAGTGACGCTAAACCTCGGGATGTATAATACTTTCTAACGGTTTGTTTATTAAACCTTCAAGTTGTTTCTTAGTGTTAATTTATTTTGCAACACAGGAGTATATAGCAGACATCTGTTGTTCGTAATTCTATGAGATCCTAGACATGCAATTTCTCAAGGCAGTCTCATCGTCTGTTAATTATTAACTAATCAATGATTCAATACAATTATTTTTGTGCAAAAAACTATTTCAAAAACGTTACGAAATTGTTTTGCATGCGAGTCACAAGATTGAAAAGGAATAAAAGATCAATACAAGTATTTCTAGAGAAAAGTCGGTCAATTGTAAGAAGCTAAAAAACAACTTGAAAATCGTCAGTATTGATGTATAGGTAAGCAAAGGTAAGATTAGTGTGTGAATCATAACTTCATACTGTCTCAGTGATCAGTTTTTTAAGCTTTACGTCTGGCAAAAATTATCAAGCCATAGGGAAGTATTATACATCTCAAGATTAATGACCACTATATGTAATCAAACTATATTTGACATTTACTTTATAGAAAAATGGGGATGACTAGGAACATACAATATTCTAATTAATTCAGTTATTGTCCTATAGAAAAAAAAAGTGTGTCAAGTACATCTAAAATTGTTCATACAATTACCAAGTTAATAAGATCACACTTATAAATTCATGCTTCTTCCTTTTTTCTTTATCAACAACGCAAAAAAAAACACTCCATATTTCTTGTCAATGTCTCGAGTCGAATTACAGGAAATAACCTTTAGTATATTTTATCTTTTAGTTTGATCATTGTATTAACATTTCTATAGCCTTTTAATCATACTAAAAAATCAACTGTTAATGAGTAAAAGTCAAAAAATTGTTTTTCTGTCAAAAACAGTATATATATACATATATAATATTTTCTTATGGTAATATTTTCCTATAAAAATATACAAAGAATAGTTATCATTAATTATAACAAAATTGCTGCTCGACAATTTAGATAGTTCATTATTTAACTCACGCGATATTTTAAATACATTTGTGAAAAGAAAAAATGTTTTTAACAATTAGTGAACGACTAAGATCGACATCTTATGTTAACTAGCGACATCAATAAAAGAGGTCTAAAAGAACACAATGATTCGACAAATTTTATCACCCGATTATTATTTATCTGTTATTTGATGTCTTCTACAACAATCTGGCGACATAACCATTCACACTCATTAAATACTTTTTTTTTGTTCTTTTCTTCGTTCTAGTATTTATTATTTTCTCCTCATCAATCTCGAATAGAAAAAAAAAGAAAAACTAATAATATATTTCCATGCAGATTTATATTTATGATTTTGAATGGAACATGCGCCGTTAGTAAATGACGATGATGAAGCTAATGAATGTTTATCTTCTGATGAATTTGAATTAGAACCACGAAATATTTCTAAAAAAACAACAGACGAATTCAAATTTAAAACTAAAACCAAAACAGAAAAAAATATGGGTGTATCATGTTCATCAATATTATCCATATGTCGTAGTAAAGCACATAAAACTCAACCACGAAATGTTATGATTAGTCGACGTGATCTAAATTCCATATGGTATCCAAAAAATGTTATTAGAAATCAAAAATATAATATCTTAACATTTATTCCACTTGTTCTCTTCGAACAGTTTCGTTTTTTTCTTAATCTTTATTTTCTTGTTATGGCATGTACCCAATTTATTCCTATGTTTCGTGTTGGTTATTTATATACATATTGGGGTCCACTAGCTTTTGTGTTATTTGTCACTATGTTACGTGAAGCTTATGATGATATTAAACGAGCATATCGAGATAAAGAACTGAATTCACAAATGTATACTTTATTATGTAGTAATGGAAGAAAAAAGAAAATTCCAAGTTCACAATTGCAAGTATCAGATGTTATTATTATACAAAAAAATCAACGTATACCAGCTGATGTTGTACTTTTGCAAACATCCGATAAATCAGGTAAATTTATCATTTAAGAGAAAATAAATTCCATTGTATTTCATATCCGTAAGATTAACTTTGTTGCATGTTAAAAGATGGTTCTTTTTTTATCATGCAATTTACTTCAATCCTACTTCCTATTTTCTTGATCATACATTAAACCGGAATTAATCTCAATGTAGAATCGGAAGAAATTTATATCCATATAAGTAGTAGAGAATACAATCTTCAATTCTCTGGATATACGATATATATATGTCGTTGAAAATAAGAATTATCATTAATGTCATATATTAAAATCTCCAGAGAATACTAGGAAAAAAAAATTATTCTGAATTATGTCAATCATATATTCCTTACATCTATATATATATATATATTTCAGGTACATGTTTTATTCGTACTGATCAATTAGATGGTGAAACAGATTGGAAATTACGTATAGCAGCTCCACTGACTCAGTCCCTTGAAGATCTATCTGTTTTAATATCGGAAGCAAGTGCAACAGCTAAAATACATGCTGAACCTCCTAGTTTAAGTATACATGAATTTAATGGTGTTATATCATGGAAACAAGATGAACCATTAACAGTTGAGAATGTCTTATGGTCAGGTACCGTTCTGGCAACAGGCGAAGCTAGTTGTTGCGTTATATATACTGGATCAGATACACGTATGGTAATGAATACAAGTAAACCACGATCTAAAGTCGGTTTACTTGACCTTGAAATAAATACATTAACAAAATTATTATTTGCGGCACTCGTTCTTTTATCAATAGTTATGCTTCTATTAAAAGGTTTTCGTGGACCATGGTATAGATATTTAGTACGATTCTTTCTCTTATTCTCATATATGATACCAATCAGTCTTCGTGTTAATCTTGATATGGGTAAAACAGTTTATGCTTGGTTTATACAACGAGATAAAAATATTCCAGGCACTGTTGTACGTACAAGTACTATACCAGAAGAATTAGGAAGAATTGGTTATCTTTTATCTGATAAAACTGGTACATTAACACAAAATTTAATGATTTTTAAACGTATACATTTGGGTACAGTTTCATATACAAATGAAAATCATATTGAAATATCAAATTTACTTAAACAACAATTAAAAACAATTACAACACCTATACATGAGAATCATCCACCAATTATACCATCTGGTAAAACACGTAATGTTGTTAAAAAAACTGAAGCAACAAAAGTTCCGGAAGCTGTTAAAGCATTAGCTTTATGTCATAATGTAACACCAGTATTTGAAGAAAAAACATCCACATCCTTAGATACATCGGCTCGTTCAACGGAAGAAAGAAATGCGAATACATCTATTATACCTCGCATATCAATCACTGGACGTGGTGGTGATATTAGTTCTTTACCAGATACACCATTAACAGGTGCAACTTCATTAAATACTACAGATGCATCAGATTTAACACAGTTATTACCACCTACAGGTATGTTCATGCAAAAAAATATATTTTTAGTTACAGAATTTCTTTTCGCGTGAAAAGAGAATATTAATAATAATAATCTACCGTCTTTTAGAAACATCGAAAGGTGGGCCATTTATATTTTAATAATAATTTAGTTTTAGTTTCGCTTGAAAAAGTTTTTTCTTACATATATATATATATCTACGTGCTGTAGCTATGATTTTAATGAGATCATGAAGACAATCTTTTTTTTTCCATTTATAAATGACGGAAGTAAAATAATAACTGATTTTTGCATGACAAATAAACAAGTCAAAAAATTTGCTTCCGCATGTTAAAATAATAAAGACAATAAACAGATAGAAAATGTTAAAGCTTATAAATGACATTTTTTTTATATCAATTTAATTAGAATCTAAAATAAATTCATAAATAATTTTTTTCTTATTAGATGTTACATATCAAGCTTCAAGTCCTGATGAAATTGCGTTAGTTGAATGGACTGAACAAGTTGGTTTAACTCTTGTTCATCGTGATTTACAATCCATGACATTACAATTAAATTCAACTCAACAAATGTTACGTTATCAAATCTTACAAATGTTTCCATTTACATCGGAAACAAAACGAATGGGAATTATAGTTCGTGATGAACAAACGAATGAAATTATCTTTTATTTAAAAGGTGCTGATATTGTTATGCAAACTATTGTTCTATATAATGATTGGTTACAAGAAGAATGTTCAAATATGGCTCGTGAAGGTTTACGTACATTAGTTGTTGCAAAAAAACATTTAACATTAGAACATTATCAAGAATTTGAACAACGTTTAACAAAAGCACGTTTACAAACAATTGATCGTAATCGTCGTGTTAATGAAGTTATTGAAACATTAGAACGTGATATGGAATTA